AAGCTCTTCCCTCTTTTAATGAGTGCTACTTCTTCAAATGTGACTATTTAAAATTCAATAGTTGAAAAAAACAATTTTACTCTAAGCCTGATTGACTTCATCCAAGGTTAGCTCACAATACAAAATACCAAATTCTAAAATATACACTAATCTATACCCAAATCAAGAATAATTGAAGAATCTACATAAAATAATTAAGGCTCTTTTAATTCATTGATCAGGATTACAAACTCATAATTAAAAATAAATTAAAATTCAGTTTTTAATTCAATTTCTTGTTTATACAACTGTTAAGGCTCATCAATATTAAGTTAATAATCTACTCTAATCGTTTAAGATTGCCGATTTATAGATTCTTAGGTATTGTAATTCTAATTTTTAATTTAATTTAATTAATAATTTTTGAATAGTCATCTAATGGTGGTTAATTCTCAGTAGTTGGACTTAATTCTATTAATAATATTATTGAGAACACGTATTTTATAAATAATGAAGTTAATAAGGATGGAGGAGCCTTTTACTTGTAAACGAGCTAGCAAGATGTATAATAATTTTATAGTATTTATAGTGATATTTATTTCTTTTTTCTCAATAGGTATTTTAGTTGAACTTTATTAACAGTAAATTTACTTTAAATAAAGCTTCGTAGGGATATGGAGGTGCAATTTATATCATTTCATAAGCATAAAATACATAACAATAGAATATCCTTTTAACAAATACATTAATTTATTAAAACAGTGCATTGGTTGCTGGTGGAATTTTTAATCAAGGGATCAACCCAATATTAGATAAAAATTCTTAAATACATAACAATATAGCTGATTATTATGGAACAGATAAATTTTCATACCCTCAAGAGTTATATTTAATAAATTAAAACTTCAAAGAAATAACTTTGATTGGTAAGCCAGGGCAAGTGTCTTTTATTGAATTTACATCTGATTCAATAAAAATATTTAATAGTAATACTCAAAGTTATGAGCAAAACTATTCCTATCCTATTTAAGTTAATTTTAGGGAATGCAATAAAGGTGAAATAATCTCTTCGTATAATAATAATTTTTAAGAATGTTAAACTTGTGATGAAGGTAAATACTCTCTAGACTTTTCTGGGTGTTATTCATGCCCTTCTGGAGGTGAATGCACTAGAGGAGTAATTCTTTTAAAGCAAGGTTTTTGGAGAGAAGAACAATACAGCTCAGATATTATTGAATGTACTAATAGATTGGAAAATTGCATAGGAAATTCATATGGAAATGCTGTTTGTATAGAAGGGAATATAGGGCCCTTGTGTGAAGAATGTGATGTAATCATTAAATTTATAAAAAATAATTTTTTTTTTATTAGAATAACACAAATAAATAGGTGTATGGTACTTATTGGAAAACTAGTTATACAAAAAAAAATAAATTTGAGTGCATAAAATGTAAAGAATAGACATACAATTTATGGAAATTATTTTTATCTATATTATGGATATTTTTTGCTGTGTATCTCACTGTTAGGAGAGACAAAAAAAATTAAAGATTAAGGTTAATTGTAAATGCCTTTTATAAAAAAAATGTATACACATTTATGGATAGATAAAAGACCCTTCTCTATGAGTAGAAATCAAAAATCTATATGAAGATTTTTGTTAATTATATTTAGATTGCCTCTGCAGCTGTCTCATTTAATTTAAATATAGGAGCATGTAAATTATTTACTATCTTAAAAATTTAATGTTTTTGAAATCAAAATAAACCTTCAGTTTCATTAATTAATCTTATAAACACAAAAAATAATTAATTAATTAATTTAAATTAACAAATTTTTTATATTTTTTGACTTTAAAAAAATTTATTGAAATAAAATCAATCAAATTAAATAATAAATGGAATACCATAAAAAATAACATATATATTTAAATAAAAAGATGTAATAGATGCAATTTCTTACTTAGGAGTGCCTATTTCTACATCTATTGACTACTTAGAATGTTTAATAAAAGATTTAAATTCTGACATTCCCTTGATTTATTTGAAATTGATTGTTTCCATTCTATGCCCTTTAGCTATTTTGTTAGTTTACTTAGTATATGAAGTAATTATATAAAAGTGTTACTACAAGTCAACGCGTCTTTTTTCTTACTCAGTATATACAGCATCAATATTTTTATTCCTTTATGTATAACCAGACTTAGTTTCTTAAATGATTGGCCTTCTTTCCTGTAGAAAAATAATGAACACAGATTACATATTAATTAATATGAATTATTAATGCTACACAGATACATATAAATTTTACAGTATAGCCTTAGTTCTACCTTTTTTGATATTGTGTACTATTGTTTTACCTGCTTTTCTATTTATTTAGATTTATATTTCCTAAAGAAGACATGGTTTAAATGATGTAAAAATAAATTTAAAATATGGGTTTTTATTTTAAGAATATAAAGATTCTGTCTATTTTTGGGAGATAATTAAAATCATTCAAAAAATTGTGATAATTATTCTTCTGAACTTTTATTCTTAAGTTGTAATGGTGAAAGGTATTTTAATCTACTTAGTTATTTTGTTTTATGGAGTGCTATCAAATAAATACAAGCCTTACTAATAAGATTAATTAAATAAAATTGATAATTATTCAACTTAAATTTGTGCTTTCACAATATTGCTTTGTGTCTTCATTAACAATAATTAATACAATTATTTGAAAATTGGCTGTTTTATAATAATAGTTTTGATTAACTCATTTTTTATCATTTACATAGCTCTAAGAATACTAAAAGACAAATATAATTAAGTCATTAATCTATTGTTTAAAGTTTTTGAAAAATACCCATCAATACAAAAATACTTTAAATAAAGAAAGATAAAAATAAATCCTGCTTTAAAGCAAAAGATCAGATCATCTTTAAAAGAGTTTGCAAAGTTAAATCAAAATTAAATTAAGGAAATGCTCTCTTCTATTAGAAATACAAAAACAAGTAAATTTTTTATTTTCATTTAATTAATTTATTAAATTCCCTTAAAACAAAATACAAGCTTAATAAAACCAACAAGAAAATGATAATTAACTTAATTCTAAATAAGATTAAGAAAATATTTTTTTACAAGACTTAAGTCCTACTAAGTAGCTAGATTCTATACCAAATAGTCACAGATAAATGTTGAGCATTGAAACAGACAGCTCTAATTTTAATACATAGATGATTAACAGTTAAACAGAAAGTAAACTAAAAAATATAATATAAAAAAAAACTAAACTTTTATAATAATAAATTAGGACTTTATGCAAGTTTTAAACCAAAATCAATGTTAAGCGTAGAATAAAAGCACTTGACAAATAGTTAAAAACCAATTAATGTTAAATTTAAGATATCTTACTTATAAGCACACAGTGGAGACATTCAAGAAGATTCTTAAAACAAAGAGAATTCTATAGGCAATTAAATCGAAGATAATTAAAAGTAAAATGTGACAGAAAACTCTCAATTTAAGGAAGTCTATTAAAAAGGGTATTCGGAAACAATTTAAAACGAAATAGAATTAATAAAAAATTCTTAAATTAAAGATGGCTCATAAAGTGAACAAATTAAGATCTATTAAAATATTTGATTAATTTTCAAATATTAAAAGATTGTATCACTAATTACAAGTTTTATATTTTTATAATTTCTTTTAATAATTAAAATGAAATTTAAATATATTTTTAGTATTTTTTATTTATTTGTTAATAAATTTCAAATTATTATCCTGTTACATAATTTTTCAAGGTATTTTTGAAGTTAATTAACAGGAGGAATTTCTTTAAAAATTATTTTTTTATCCTCTTAAATACTAGAATAGTCATTAACTTTTATAAAACTTTAAGAAGATTAAATAAATTTTTATTTATTATTGCTAATATAATAAGATATTTTATTCTTCTTTTAAATTAGTATTTTAATCTTAAAATAATTATTAAATTTTAATTGATGATCACGAGAGGAGCTAAAGAAATTAATTGAAAAAAAATACTTAAAAAATATTTTACAATTCACTATCTACTTTATGTAAACCAAATATTTCCATTTATTTTTAAAATGATACTTAAAATGGTTTTTTTTATACTTTAATAGACCTTTTAACTAACCTAAAATTATTAATCTGATCATTTTTTCTTTTTAAATGAATCATTTAGTAATATATAAATTAATTAAGTAGAATAAATTAAAATAAAAGAAACAATTAAAAAAATGGCAGAAGAAAAAAGCTGAGCAACAATAAAATTTGATAGTAATTAAATTTTTTTAAATTTTATTAATTAAAATATAATGTTTAAAGTGTAAAAAGTTAGATTAAAATAAAAAAAATATTAAATTTAAGCTAAACTTATACAAAATGTAAAATCAATATTTACTTAGAATATCTGAAGCATTTAAATGCTTAAAAGGTACAAAGATTTAGATGATAGTTCC